GATGTGGTATCTAAAAATACAGGTCCTGGGGTTGTGGATGTTCACAAGTGCTGTGTGGAAACATTGAGTAAGATAAGAAGATGGAAAGACTATGCATTAGAATTTTCAGAAGCAGGCAGAAATCAAAGGGCAACTATTGAGCCAGTGCTAAAGATATTAGTGCAAACCCTCTCATTTCTTTTTCAAGAGAAAGTTGGTGAACTGAAAAGACAAAATTCAGTGAACCTTGAGGAAAGTATGGAGATGTTTCCACAGGTTATTCTCACTTCATTAATTGAGGGACCATTTTCTAGGGATTTCCAAGACATCAACAAGATCTTGGATTGCTTGAATCAAACTCCCTTGCAAGCCTCAGCATCTGGATTACATTGGGATGCAATTCACATGATTTCCAATATCTACACTGAACTGAAAAAGTATCAAATAATCACTGGTGAAAACCTCTCTTATCTCTTGAATCAGAATAATGGATCAAATTTCATCTTGGACTATCCCATACATCGTCTACCTGAAGATTTCAAAAAAGTAGATCTTCTGGATTTGCAATTCAATGTGAAATTGAGTCTCCAGGAAAGCCCTGCCACACAAACAATGAGGGAAATATTACCATGTGAGTAAACAAACAGTGAGAATTCCAAGTTTCTGGCAACTCAAAAAATGATTCATTTTCCCTTATTTTGTAAAATAAAGATGTGCATGATGATAAATGGAAATGGATTGAATTTGAATACATCAAGGAGAAGCTCAGAAGGACAAGGTTTGAAGCACAATCTCTGAAAGCTGCTCATATCTATTATGAATTTTGTGAAGTGGCTTCCCCAAACCACAAGGATATCTCAGACACTAGACTCTGTGATTTTCTTGTGACATTAGTTGAACACATCTCAGAATCCAACATGAAAAGTTTGAGAATTATAAATAGTGAACTTGAATATGTGATTCACTTAAAGGACTTGTATGACATACTTAGTCTTACAATGAGGTATCAAAAAAAGAAAACCCAAGATGTGATTATAAAGCTGATGTGGGATTTGAACCTTCTCAATAAGCTCCGAGCATTTGAAGAAGCAATCGGTCTTTTATTCAGCATAATCTACTCATACAATGTCAGATATGATGAAATGCAAAACAGATTTCATGAATGGAAAACCACAGGGGCTTACTTTATGGATAAAAATGAAAACAGGAAAATATCAAGCTTTGGTTTGGAAGGGGATGAAAGTTACAAGAGATTTGAAAACCAACTGGAATCTAGTTTGAAGATTTTTGATTCAAAAATCAAATCATCCATACCTAAAACAGCATACCATGATCTTACCAGAGTAAACACTTCAATCAATAAATCAAAAGAACAGTTTAATAAATTCTGCATTCAGCTAGAAATATTGAAGAATGAGGAGTCCCCTGACCCTCATTTTATTGAATTCATCCAACAATTTCAATCATATGTTTTCCAAACTTTGGAAAAGTATGCAAATAAGCATCAAATGTATATGAAAAATGTTGGACTCGATGGTAGGATATTACCTGGAAAGAGGCTGAACTTTGTCCAAGGCTTCCAGAATGAATAACATGACCAGTATTATCATTGATATCTGTAGTTGAGTTTATAGAATTTCAAATTACAATTTACTCAACTACACTGTTTTCAGAGGGGCTTGGTGAGTTGTCTCTTCTTTTTTGAACACACACATGACCGCAGTCTTCGGCTGTAATCTGCGACCCCTCCACATTTTCTTAATTAAGACTTCACAAGAATAGCTAGAAAACATTTTAGGCCACAATTATGCATCCACTGGCACATGTTGATACTCCTTTTCCAGAATGCCACTTAAGAGATCCTGCAAATCCAGAAGATATGGCATTGCTCCAGCTGCAGCATCAGGTTTAGCTTCTATGTATAAGTTTTCCCGACAGTCCTTTCAGATTCAGCTCCTATGCATTATTTTTCCCGACAGTCAATTCCTATATGCGCGTTTTTTGTCCAAAGCCCAGCTGGGGAAAGATAAGACCTGCATGGCCGATCATTCATGTTTGAGGTAGAGATCAAAACCAAACGTATCAAGCCGATGTTACTTTTGCCGCGTTGTGTTGGTTAGAATATCACAAGCGGTCTGACTGCTTTCACGCATGGAAATGGCCGAACAAGCAGGTCGGACCGGTTTCCCGGAAGGTGCTGCCCGCCCCCTGCTCGGACCGACGTACCCAAACAATTCTTGATGGCAGTGTGGCACGGGCTATATCAACCTGGTGTTTTTGTCGTTTACTCCAATGCTAATCAATATCTGATGAGCCGGACTCAAAATGTTGGATATCATTAGTCAGTGTGAAGGGTAGTTAGTGTGAATCGCAATGCCGAGGATGGCTCCGAACAAAAATAGTCCTGTTGATAGGTGATAATCTGGTTTAACGTTAATGGCCACTCCTGGGCATAGACCCGATTTCGAACTCGGCGGTCCCGGTCTAATGGCCTATCTTGATCCAGGCAGGACGGATGGAAGGTCCCGCGACTCAATTTCTTGAGGGGGCAGTCCAGTCAAAGTGCCAGCCAAGTTTTACGAAAGATGGCTTGCTTTCCTCGGTTCCCTTCAAAATTAATCCTGCAAATCAACTACCTGCCTACAGTGATGGTAGAGGGAGCTTGCGCATATTTAAAGACTGCACTTTGGAGTTGTTCCCCGGATAATTACCAGAATCTGTTCAACAACTCGAATCATCAAATTTTTATCTTCCCTCAGTTTAGTCTTCAAAATGGTCCACAAAGGGCAAACCCATCACTTCAATTCTCTCGCCACCTCTGCGAATGCATCCCAACGCGTCCCCATTCCTTCTTTGCTCCCAAGGTTCACGGCGACAGATAGGATCACAGTCGGCAAACTACATCCATCACCTTTGAGTCCAATGCCTCTCAGTGACTCTTTTCCAACCCATCATCCCGAGCCGACACTCAATCCATATGAACATAGTTCATCTGCGCCACCGCGACAAACAACCAAGAAGCCCCCAGTCTCCCAAATTCTCGCTGATGGGTTTTATGACGAGTACAGCGACATGCAACACGTAGTGGCTCGGTACCAAATCACTCAAACACACTATTCGGGTTCACAAGTACCGATTCCAGTTTCCGCGTCGAAGTTTCAATGCTTGATTAAAGAACCCACTATCCGGTTCTTAGAAATATGTGGAGAATTTTTGATCTGGCTGTGGTTATTTATGTGGAAGAAATTCCATGCCTTATTGCCCGAACATCAAGATCAAATATTACCCAGCCATCGGGGGCCTTCTCTTCCTCAACTTTACAAATTGCTCATTCCGATATCCGGGTATAATTTGGAGATTGAAGGATGTGTTGTAAACTCTGAGAAAGTTCATGATGTTCGCTATCAGGTGCGGCTTGTTTGCTTCTTCAGATGTCGTTCAGTATACTAATTTGTTTTTACTGACTTGGCAGATATACCGCCGACCTGATTTCACTGAAAATGAAATCAAAGCCGATATGTATGCAATATATAACTGATGGTCTCTAAGTTGACGGTTTGGTGCTGACTTCTTTTTTCTCTGATAATAGAATTTATCTTCCGGAAACTCCTCTGAACGGCCCAATGGATGTATCACCCCTGATGGCTGCATTCATCCATGGAGGACACAGGATCGTGATTCCCCAAGTCAGCGGGCCGGAGAAATCGGTCCCCGACGTAGGACACCAATCTCGCGTTATTGCCTTGGTGCTTCGACATCTTAAATCTAAGGACCAAGAGTCGGTGAAGAGGCTTCGACCTCAACAAGCGCACTTAGGCACAGAGACTATTTCAAGTCTCGGCAGCACGTTGTCTTCTTCAACTTGTTACTCGGGGAACCGACCCGTTTTCTTACTTGGCTTGGGACATGCCGCCTTAGTTGCGCTCTCCTATCCCCTTGAGATCGGACAGCCGATTCATGAATTCCCGCAGCCGCTTGGATCATCCGGTGCACTATCGATTCCATCGGTTTCTGCGCGAGCGGAACCTCCGCGGTCGCTGATGGGAAAACTCAATAGCTTTTGTGATTCAGTTAACTCTGGGATGACGGGTCTTGGATGGTGGGCTCAAGGGACTGCAAGGCAGGCAAGAGCGGAATTCAAATCTTGTGGCCCCTTGCCAAAAATACATGGTATAATTGCGATTGGACCGATGTTAGACCCAAGCGGGAGTAACCATAAGCAAAAATACTGGTTTAAAAGTAAGTCTCCCTGATATTGAAGAGTTTTGCAGCATATATCATAATTTATTTATTTTGCTTTGACTGTTCCAGAGCCCAAGCAAGTCTCTCAAGGGATCGGACCAGCAAGTTATTCACCCTCAATGAACAATGCGGTCAAAAGGCTACACCTCAACGCAAGTAACATCAGGGTTCCAGTCATGATAGCACATGGTACCAAGGTAATATCATCATGAACGCGATTAGCATTAATATTGCAGCACACTGACAAAAATTTGCCATATCACAGGAAGCGTTCAGTCTCATAGAAGGGATTAACTCTTTCTATGGAGCACTTGCTTCAGCGGATTCCACCCTTATCTTCTGTCCTACCTTACGGCACGGCGGAGACCTGGCAGGCGATTCGGCTCGTAACGGACTTGCAAATGACTGCATGAGATGGATTGATTGCCTCGACTCAACAGCCGCGATTACCCCAGAGGTCTCGGCTCAGACACTATGTCTACCCACCAAGAAACAACACCCTGAACCTAATCCAAGCGCTTCTATTAACGAAGCTGAGGATACATCATCAGTCGATGCACCTGAGGCTGTTATGACTGAGCCAGTTGCCGTGCTGGCTGGTCAGCTCGAAGAAGACAATTGTTCTACCGATTTTAGTTCTTGGTTTGGCTCTGAGGGTCCTTGCAGTATTCAGACTCTTTCTCGGAATCCCTCAGCTGGCGCAAGTATCTACAGTTCTACCTCTCGGGGCGCAAGATTATCTTCAGGATCATACTTTTACTCGCCGGAATTGATGGGATCGATTTCACTGGAGATGAAACTCGACTCTCCTCACTTGAGCAGTGGTTTCTCAAGTCCAGCTCCTCGAACCCCGGCAACCGATTTCTTCCCATTTCTACCCCCATCGGCTAAGATAATTGATCATCACCATGGTCCTCACGGTGTTGTATCTGTTGTGAGAAGCAATCGAGATAGCTACCAATCTCTATCATGTATCAACATCCCCGGAAGCAGCCTAGGATTCAACTGAAGAGCAATCGCCCGCCTTGACAATCTTGCTCATTTCTCTAGTAACGAGTTCAGTACAAAATTCAACAAAAAGATAACATCCATGGAGTAAAATCTGTCACATCGTTGTACCAAGAGGGATTCACCTCTCATCTTGATTTATCTGTCTACTTTCATGAAATTAAATCACACAATTAGTATCAGTACACATTGCCCATCCAGCTCATGCGACTGTAAGAGCTTTGAATGTGCAGATTGTCGAAAATTAAATAAAATGCTTTTGTGCTCCGAGCCTCGAGGATTGTGCCATGACGTATGTAGCTCCCTGGAGTGGTGGTGTGCTCTCTCACCATCTTCGTGTGAAAGATGAAGTTTCACAAGGGTTACACAGCACTATCACCAACCTGGCACGGCTTTAAAAGGGCTTCGGCGAGTTTTCCAGGGGGGGGATCCTCCAATCCAACCCCACCTGGTTTTCCCTCAAATTATTCGAACGCACATTCCCATCACAGCTACATAAATAGGTTACCTTCTGCATCCTCATGAGCGGTCCTCAGCCACCTCCGAGTTTCCTTGACGGAGACATTGAGATGATCCCGATTGCTACTGCTATGGAGCAAGTCGCTGGCTCACTTCGGGAACTGAGAGAACAGTATGAATACGATGACGGCGATGTTCAGATGGAGTCCGCATTCGATTCTCAAGATGACCTGCTCCTAAGCAATCAACCCTTCCGATTGCTGATCCTCGATACCAACATCCTCATCGGTCGCCTCAGCCTGATCGAATGGCTAGGCGAATTGCTCATAGCCGCGCGCAGGCTTCATAAGGGATCCCACTACCAGTGCGGTTTATTGATACCCAAGATGGTCCGATCGGAGTAAGGCGCGCTCTCAATTCACTCACTCGTTTGTTGTTCAATACTGTCATCGGAAAAGCAAAAAAAAAAAAGAAAAAAAAATGTGCCTTTGAATGATGAGTCTCATAATTAAACCTTTTTCTTGAAATCCTCAAAGGCTAGATAAACACAAGATGCCACACAACAAACAGCGAACCGTAACCGCACTGGTAGAACCCCCACTGGTCAATCCAAGTCGCCTCACTCAAACCTCGATCCATAGTCCCGAAGGCTTGAGACTAGGAAGGAAAACTTTCTCAAATACCAGTCAGCCTATTCGAATCAGCTTATACGAGGCTGCCGATCAAGCTATCAATTGGATGTCACGCCTTTTCAGAGACATACCGCCGGAGTCTTGTATCCTCAAACTTCAAAAGCAAGCTGAGGTCGCAGATCCTACGTTATTCAGTGCCTCCAATCCGACCGGCTTAAAAGTGGTATGTCCTGGGTATATCCCGTGACCGATTTTGACGACATCCAACCTGGTTCATAACTGAAGCTTTCCCCTCTTCCTCGAAAATTTGATCATTTTTTTTCCAAGTCACCAGATATGCAAATTTTAGATTGCGCGACGTATTTCAAACAGCTGCTCGAAGTACGAGGGGGTGGAGTGACCCTACTAACTAATGACAAGGCATTATCTCTGGAGGCTGAACTTGAAGGTTAGAGACCTGTTTCGGTTTTGATTTGATTGGTCCATCTCTGGCTTCAGTTGATCTTTCGCTTTCCCAGGTCTCTCTACTCTGAACATCCAGCCTAGCGTTTCACCCCATTCGCTGCTACACTCATTCGATGCAACCCTGGCACAAGAGATTGAGACTCTGATTTCTCAAGTGTCCCTTGCAAACATGGTCACTGCAACTTGGTATAAGAAAACTTCAATCTCGCACTCAAAGCCCACTCGCCGTCAATCCTCTCCGGATAAAATTGCGACGAACAACTCATGCTCCGCTCACGACTCTAAACCTTACCCCAAGCCAATTGAAACCCTCTCAAATAACAAACTCGATTTTGTTCAAGAGGCCCCCAAAGCTGAAGAATCGCTTGCTGAATCATCCACGTACATGGCCATCGAAGTCGACGAGGAGATGACACTATCTGACTTAGAAGTCCCTCCACTTTTCCCACAAATTACCTATCACCATATGCTTGCCCCTTCGCAACTGTATGAACCAAGACTCCTTCACTTGCACTATCACATCCAGCAGGCCGTCGGGGCTCTTTTGCGACCGCGCTTATTTGATTTCCTACTTCGTACGTTAGCCTGTAATGATATCTCCCGGTTATTTCAACACGTGGCTCTAGTCTTCGAACGCAAGAAAACTTTCTCGCCGATGCAAAACTCACATGATCCGAACGAATGGACAGCAGCCGATTGTCTGACTCTAATCGATGAATTTTGGAATGAGGCTACCCAAAAACTATTTCAAGATGATGTCAAAAATGGGACGAGTAGTAAACCAATATCGAACTCAGCGAAGCCGATGATTTCCCGGTGGGCTCCTAGCACACCTTTCATGAATTCCGACTCGAATGAGCAAAACTGTAACGCTTTCTCAAATCGATTAAGTCGGATCCGCAAGGCGATCCAAGTTCTCATTGTGCAACTTCAACCTTACAACATTTCAGATCTACCACGAGACAACCCACAATCGTGGCCAGTGTTGTTTTGGGACGGTCTACTCGAGGACATCCATAAACTTATTTATTATGGTAAATTTTACGAGTCTTTGAGTCTGGTTGAACCAGATGGTCGGGAATCTCAAGATCATCTTCTCCAAAAAGTAATTCAAAACTGGAAGAGAGAAGCTCATCATCTGTGTGAATCTGGATGATTCAGAATAGCTGGAAATATCCCATTACAATCCTTTGTTTTGTGTGTTATTGTAAGAAAAAAAAAAGTTTATCAACCTACTAGGTGACATTGTAAAAACGCTTTGCCTTCATAATACCAATTCAACTTTGTCTAATCTCTTATCAAATTATTTCCTGCATTGTAAGGCAAACGATCAAGTTGTCTTGCATTCTTCATTGCTGGCTGGTGCCAAATACTCATGTTGAATTAAAGCTCAAGTGTCAGTTCTTTCTTCCAAGGCTTGATAAGCTGCAACTCATATTTCAACTCAGGATTCACAGCATAAATTGATGGGCAATTCGACCAGGTCTGCACATGCTCTAAGAATGTTTTGTTCGAAAAAGAAATTGACTCTTGGGTAAGCTTCATTACCAATAGAAAACAAAAATGTTGACTTCTCTCTGTCATGTCCATTTTGCCAGAGGGCATCATCTTCCTGTACTCTTGCAGACTCTTTCCTTATTCTTTTGGAATCAACCAGCATGTGCCAACTAAGTATGTAACAAGAAAAAAAAAAGTAAACTGACTTGACTCCCTGCTTTTATTCCTCTGCTGTGATTGAAGATGAAATTTCAACAATCTTCCTTTGTTCTTTTTCTTGTCCCTTTCAACTATTCCTTTCAAAGGATACGATTTTGGAAGTAATTTGAGTTCCATATCTGAACGACCAACTAAAGATAAATCACTATGTAGTCTGGATGTATGTATGTAAATGGGAAGGAAAATCAGCCGCCTGAGGCTCAACCCGGTCCGACCGCAACATTAATGTCTCGTGCAGGGTCGGATTAGAGTTTGGTTTTGAGACCCATGTTAAAAGCCTTCCCGAACTGCCGGGCTCCTTGGGTCAACTTCACATCCGATGCAAGAGAAGCGCCTTTTTGCAAGTTTTGCTTCAGAGCCGTCTGATAGAAAAAAGAGCTGACAAGAAATACTATTAAGACTAAACCCTCTCCAGATGTCTATTTTATCTATGTGAATATATACAAATTATATGAAAAAGTCTTGGCAAAGGAATGGCTTTCATTGGTTTCATTTCTTCATTTCGTTTCATTTCAGGTTTTTGGTTTTTTACTGGCTTTTATTAGAGAAGGCGAATCAGTCATGACAGAAGAGAATAACAGAGAAATTAAGGTTGTGTTGAATTAAAAAAATTTTAAAAAAAAAACTGAAAATTATTGAACCAGATTTTTTAGGAACGTTTTCTTGTTTTTTTTTTTTTGTAGACAACCTAAAGTGTGTATGTGTAAACGCGCATATTCAAGAGCACTTCACTACAATTCCATTGGGCAACCAAAAGATAATTCAAAAGAATTTGATTCGATTTTTATTCATTTATTCGTCCTTCGGCATCATTTTTTGATTGTTACTTTCAAAGCATTATCTTTTCTTGGAGTCTGCAAGCCAGACCTTCATTTTTTTCGCTTCTGCTTGAATCTGGGTGTTTATATTATTTATTATCTCCCGCGCCAGTAGTTCCACTTGTAGTGGAAGAGTTGTTGTTATTGGAACTCTTGTTTCCGATCTAAACCATAAACACAAAAAAAGCAAGAACCGGGTTGAGCAAGCATCACTTCGCACAAGATCTCAATTTACTACGCTTACACCCGCTCCAGCAAGCGCCGGCCCCACGAGACCTGGACCGGCAGGGCGAGAATTAAAGCCCTCCCCCCTATCCATCCCTCGTCCGCCACCACGCCCACCCCGGTTGTTTCTCATGTTATATTGCCCTTGACTTCCCCTACCTCGCGATCCAGGGCGACCTCGGTAGTTGTGATTATTAGCGCCATCACCATTCATGGTTGTCGGAGTTGACTCGGTAGAATTGGTGTTGCTTTTGACGAGTTTGTCACTGGAATCTGTCTTCTCTTCGGCCAGTCCACTATCGATCTTTCCTTTCACCTCTTTGGCAGGTCCGACACTGGTCGTTCCGTTCTTGGCAGTCCCTGTTTCAGCGTCGCCATCACCTTTGTCTGGAGCTGCACGATCGGTATCACTCCTCGAACCAGCTGTTTGTCCACCGGAGGAGCCTTTCTTTTTCTTACCAGCAAACGAGGATTTCCGCGAGGGAGCAGGAGAAACACCTGTAGATGCTGTTGAATCTTGGTTTCCTGGGTCTTGCGTTCCAAAGTCGAGAGTCCAATATGTATTAGGACCTAACCAACCACCTATCAATCTAACGTGTTGACTTACTGGAGTTCTTTGTTGGCTCATCTGCTCCAAATCTGGGTCGTGCTTGGGTAGCTGACTTAGCGCTAGAATCGGCGCCGAGAGGTCCTGAGTTGGATAGGGTCGAGGTGGGTGTACGTAGGCCCTCATCGCGCCTATCCTCTCGCGATTTCGAGTAGCGATGCTGCGGGTTGGAGTTCTGATTTGGATTGCGCCCATTGCTCTGATTTCCATGGTTGCCGCCATGTTGTTGATGGGAGCGAGGAGCATGATTGTTCGGTCCGCCCGGGGCAGGTGGAGTAGAGGATTCGGGCTGATGTTGCTGTGATGAAGGATTTTTTGTATGGCCTGAGACGAGGTTTGAAGGCATTGATTTATTTCCATAAGAGGAAGGCGCCTGACTAGAGGATTGATTGGGAGGTCGTGCCAGCGATTGGGGGCCTTGGTTATCACTGGGATTTGCTGCAGAAGTGGATACGTGTGCGACAGGCGTTCGAGGATTGATCTGAGAAGGTGTGCTAGGTGGCTTCGATTGTGCTTGAGACCGGTACGCAAAATTAAAGCCTTTTTATGGACAAAGATATTGTTATTAGAGGAGATGTCGAGAAATTTGACACATAGAGGATCATTAACGCCACGCACCTTGACTGCGCATTTCAGCACCGATCCGCCCTTCTTTGATGTCCAATATCAAACTTCCATAAGCTGCGTCTGGTAAGTTCCAGTTCCATGAATTTTTCCAGGCAGGTTCCTCAGTTGCGGTACCTGAGCCCGGAGGGGGCGGAGCAGGGACACGATTGGCTACTGCTAAGGCATTGGAAAGCAGTTGGCGTTGATGGTCGCTATGGTCAAGAATGCATAAGAAAAAGTCAGTTGGATCTTAAAGGGTGGACTAGAGGTTGTGACTCACTCGATGACAGCATCGACCTGATTCTTGACTGTATCCCAAATCTCGTTGAATGTAGCTTTGGCATGAAGTAACTTGGCACGAAAAGCTTCTTGATCGTGTTGGACACTGAATTCATTGTAACTGACGCCATAGCTAAATATGTATTTATCATATAAAAAGATAGGGAAAAAATGAAAGAAAGAGTGAAAGAGTGATGAGTGATGCAGTAATATAAGTTAAGAAGTGATGAGGTCATACCGGAAATGCAGACCGGCGGATATGGTCAGATCGGCCTTCAAGACGAGTGCCAGTTGTGCTAATAAGCCTTCTCGACCGGGACTGGCATGAGATATCAATAGCCGAGTCTCGGTTGGATCGTAGACACGTTGAGCGGTATCGATGACTTCACCGATCTGGAGGATGCTTGTCCACATGGTGCCTTGCCCACCGGCGATCGTTGCAGCCCCTTCACCATTATCGAATAGTTTATGTGGGACTACCGCACCACCCAAACCGAACAGCCGTAATCTGATTCCACCCAATACCAAGCATCGAGTGGTAGCTTCATCTAGGACGGTTAAGTTGGGGATCGAATATGCTGATAGAGCTCCAAGTTTTTGATTTGATTCTGAAGCTTTGGCGGGTTGAGAGGAGGTCTTGAGGAGGGATGGACCGGCGGCACGGATCTTTTCGAGGATAGAAACATCCTCACATGCCCCCCAGACGGTATAAACGGGTACGTCCAACTTGAGCTTGCCAGTCAGTAGATCCGGGAACTCAGACAGTGGGAATTCAGCGGACGAGTTTTGAGTTTGGTTTGTGGGCTCGGGTGATGAGGATGAGGATGGTTGAGGGGGTGAGAGGATCATCTGTCGGATGGAGTGTGCGTTCATACTTGGGGCGAGTAATTGGGATCTGAACTGGGAAGTGATTAATGATGAATATTGAATGAGATGACGTAGGGTACGATCGGAGATCCTATCGAGGGAGGATGGTTCTGTGTAGGATTAGAGTAGTGCAGTGTCAGAAAACGAATAAGTTTTTTTTTTTTTTTGGAAAGAGTGAGACTGACCGTAGAATCCAAAGTCGCCGGAATGGATGACAGCCACTGCATTGAACTGTTTGGCGAGGTGGTTGATTTGGGAGATCGCACCCCGGAGGTCGGCGATGCAGAGTATCCTCCCATGTTCAGAGTCCAATAGGTCGATCCTGTTCGAGAGCCCGTTTGTGTTGAGGTTGTTGGGACTATTGCCAGTAGTAGTTGGTTTTTGATGTTCGTTGTTCGATGAGTTGAGGTTGTTGGGTTTTGAGTTGTGGTTTGGGTTGTGGTTTGGGTTTGGGTTTGAGTGAAGTGGTGGTAGTGCTGGGGCTGGGGCAGGCATGATAGGATGGAGTGGTTGGCTGATGAAGGCTGGATGGCTTACAAGGATTCCAGGAAAACTCAAATCGTAAACATCGATCGATCACAAATGCCACTCCAAAATCAAAGCATCCACAGCCAGAAGACCTCCTCATGATCAGAACTCCATTCAAGATCTCAACTTTCACTCCAACCTCAACTATGTACATAGTGCTCATCCTCATGGGTTTATGAAAAAGCTGTTCAGGATCAGAAATTCACATGAACCAGAACCACAACCACAACAAGATTATATGAACACACATCTATTCTTCGATCCTGGAAAAACATTTCATTCAGCTTGAATTTCCACCACTTGTCAAGCTGAAAGCCCTTTTCCTGAAAACAAAAGACCCAACAGTAAATTGGGCTTTCTGAATGCACAGCCAATTAACATCAAACAAGCACTTTTTTCTATTGAATCACACACCTGGCTATCTGCCTTGAAGAAGTGAATCTCTCCAAACAGTTCTCCACTACACTAGTTCCAGACTACTGATCTACATTTTCAAACTTACCAAAAAAAATGTGTTCTGATGGAGACACAATTTGTAAAAGAATGTATGGAATATTTGATCTGATGACTTTGAGGCTGAAAAAGTGTGATTCAAATGAAAAAAAAAAAAAACCAATACCCTTAGGGGATCAAGGGTTTTCCACATCCACACCTGGTTTTGGGGCTTTTGCAACACCCAGTTTTCTGTGCAAAAATCTGTGTTTTTTTTTGTTATTTTTTTATGGCAGGGAGGGATTCCTCTAGCCATGGAGAGTTTCTGGTCTCAAGGCCAAGAAGGATTACTCCTGGTCTCAAGAAATGGGGAACTCATCCCAGCCTCAAGACTTGTATAAGTCGCAATGGCCCAGGAGGTATTCTTCTGGAAATGGAGACTGTAGGATCTCAAATTTGAGAGAAATCCCTCTCAACCTCAGGACTGTACATAAACTCTTAGAAGGATTCCTCCCAGCCTTGAGACCTGTACAAGTCTGGGTGAATCCCTCTTGGCCCTGACAGTGAGACTGTAAATTCTTGATGGCCAAGGGGGATTCCTTGTAGCCTCAAGACCAGACTGTCTCCATTTTCAGGAGGTATGTACCTTGATACTTGTACAAGACCCACAATCACAACAAGGCTTTTTTGATGGCTTTTTAGGACCTGGCATGGCCTTGGGACAAATTCCTCCCATGGCTGAATCCAAAAGCCCAAATCACACCTGTGGTGTATCATGACACATCAATTGTCTCTTTCACATATTTATGTTATTTATTTCTATTTTTGCTTTATTTTCTTTTATTTTTCTTCCTGTTAAGCCTTTTCTTTTTGGCTGATAGCAACAATGGGCTGCTACTCTATACTGCATTTTTTGACCAAAAATTGTTAGCATAGCAGATTTTTTTCATGGAAATTTTGTAGTGTTAGCGGTTTTTGCTACACAACACAGTGCTGCGGTCTCTAATGGCTGTGACACTGACAGGGCCAATATGCCGCCAACCAGTGTGTGAGTGTAGAATAGTGGGCACTTTTTGGGGTCCTGCGCACGTAGTTTTAGCATGGATACAATGGAATTCTGCTATGCTACACTAAACTTTAGTATCATTCTGCTACATCATGAGACACTGACACTACAGTTGGAATAACTGGCCCACAATTGATGATAAATTTGGTTATTTTAAGTTTCAATCACATTTTGTATCTATAATACCTCATTGATTTGTCAATTTTTTTTCACCATGCATTCTCATATCTCTCAATATTTCTGAAGTCTTCTGATTAAATAAGGCTTCTCAAATAATTTTGATCAACTATGCCTCTTCTTATAGCTCAACTTTCAACTTTTCAACTTCTTCATTTTGTTTTTATTTGATTTTCAACTAATTTTTACGACTTTGTAACTTCTTTTGTTTTATAAAAGTGATGCCAAGCAGTTTATCCCCTGCCTCTCAAGCTAAAGCACATACAGATCATAACTTCTTGCAAGGGGTTTATATTTGTAAGAGGAGGTCTTTGTGCCAAATCTACAGTCCTTGTAAGTGATGATTTAGACCTGAAAATCATTTTTTTCTGGGAAAATAGATTGGCACCCTGTAAATGTAGCTTTACAGGGGGCTTTAAAACAAAAGCAAGGACCTTCATTATTTCACTAAAATTGAACTGTAAGCTTTGTTTTGCTGAAATATATATATATTGAAGAAGAATCCACAGTAACAGTAAAAGCTGAATTTCTGCTGCTTGCAATTTGTAGACTTGAAATTACTAGGTCTATCTTTGAGATTGTATAAATCCATTACAAATCCATGTTAGCAATTCATGGATTGATATGAAATTTCCAAACCATTTGGAAAAAAATGTAATCTTACTCAAATATTGTGGCATCAAAATTTCATGAATCTGTCACAATCAAATGGCTCATACAAGGATATCAATTGGAATTTCTTTTCCTTCCACATGAAACAGACATAATTCTCTAATCCAGCATATTCTGTTCTCCATAATTCTTATTCCCATAGAGATTCAGAGAGCATTTGTTTTAGTTCTCAAATCTTGAAAGTGAAAGTTGATTGCTACGTGGCACATGTCACCCACCAAATGTGACTTACTGATCAAGTAAAGTCACAGGATTTTGCTTTTTGGGTGGATTCAGTTGTCGGGAAGAGATGTTCAGCGGTAAAAAAAAATGAGTTTGAAAACACCCACACACGGAAAACTAGACAATACATGGTTTTTAGTACAAGAAAACGGTGCGCCTCCAATGTGCCAGCCAAAGGCGCGCATTGCTGACAGTTTGGGAGGCGCCTTCTGGCGCGCACTTTTCCAAAAGGGGCGCCATCAACCCTAAGCCTGTCCAAGATGTCTCAAATTGCCAATCAATTAATCCCCAGACCCTCAATATGAAAATTCACATCTGGACTAGCGGCTGCAAATTTCAGCCAATTTATATGGCAGCTATTTCCTTCCAGGTCAGATCACTGGACACCCTGTTTTCCAATCAGGTTGACTATCAGGCTACACCATTCCACTTGAGTTTTGCTATTATTTAGGAATTCATACTAAGGCACAATCAATGTATTCTCACATGCTTTCTACCTCAGGATGGCTGCGAGTGATAAGGATGGGATAGTATCGCGACTGAAACTATACTCACAAGATTTCCGTGCGTTCTTGACTGGTTGTTAATGCGTATCGTCAGATTTGGGTGTCTGGCCGAGTTTATGCACGTAATCCCTGTGATCCCGAAGATGTCTTACCCGGTTATCCAAAAAAAGTTCAAACAGGCATGTTTACAATCAATACATAATCTGTTCACGCAGAATCAAGATAAACAGAGGATTGAAGAGCACCTGCTAGCCAGCTTCCCTATTCTGTCAAAACATGCAAAACCACATCTCTGCGCCTGTTTTGAGAGTACCGTTTTCCCAAAAGTATGCTCAGGAATTATGATGTTTTGTGTGGAAGGTTTTGTACCGAGTCATTTCGGATCCTTCTTTTGAAAAATTGTTAGCATTGGTGGGCTGAACTGAAGCTACCAATATAAGCAGGCGATGAGTAGGTCCTTCTTGGGTGTGAATTGAGTCCTGCCTGTGCTGGTGAGCCTTTTGGATTTTGAGTCGGACGTAACCCTGGCCCCCCGCGGGGCTTTTTTTACTTTCAAGTGGGCCTATGACTCTGTTAGTTATTAATAAATACAAGTTTCAAAAATCTGGATGAGCTAGTGACCTGGGGAAAAGATAGAGACACAGAAATCCTTGTTTTCAAACACGTTGCTTCGGATCCAATAAGAGCAAATTGCTCTTGTGGGTAGAGAACGAGATATACAAAGCATGAATACTTGTGTTACATAACATGAGCTGCTCAAATTTCAAGGTTTCTTGTGGATCATCTAATAATCAATGGTGGAAAATTGATCTGAAGCAAACAGAAGGAGTTGAATCATTGTCAGAATTAAACCTCAGTTAACTACTAGGTATGGAGCTTGAAACTGTATACGTGCAGCTCGGGCACGGGACCTAGGCTTAACATCAACAAAAAACAACCTATTTCGGAAAGCCTAGATACAGTTGAAGATTATTTTATACCTGAATTCTAGACCCCTCAAACAAGCTTTTGAATAGATATCTACTTCGAAAATGCTCAGAAATGGAGAATGTCGTCCAAGTGAAATGGTTAAGTACTGAGTCTGTAACCGGGCATTGGCCACAAGTCTGCTCATGAAATTGAAAGTCAGGCCTCTTCGAACTCTGATCTGGGAAGCTGGAAGCTCGTGAGTATGTATACGAGAGGATCTGAAAAACGTGGATTTACGATTTACGATTCGCAATGCCAAAAGGTTAACAAAGTAAAACGTTCAAGTTACAGTTGTTTTACTCCTAGAGTTTGATTATTGCATCAACCTGAGCCGGCCGGATGTCCTGCTCCGTATTCATCTATTTATGTGACATCTTTCCCGGGCGGTTACATATAGAAAACCAACTTGCGGGCACATTCTGCAACTCAACGGCTGGTCGACTCGCTCGCCGCAGCAGGATCTAGCAGAGCACGTCGCCAACGAAGCGCTTGCAGAACTTCAAGCGTCTCATGAAATCATCTGTACTGCCTGTTAGCTTGTTGACTGTTCTGCAAGGGATTTGTTACAATAAATAAATGTTTGTAGAGTTATTTTTGGTATTACAACCAGAGGAAATCAAGGTCTGGTCGAAGCCAGGCTGTCGCATCAAGAACGAGCTTTAAAGTTCATCTTTTTACATGATAGGCTAAAACATGGCAAGATTCATGATAAATATCACTACTGCCCATGAGCCTTTTTCCTTTGCGCACCCCGCCAATCACACCTCTGGAAACAGCCAAACCATCACTCGTGCGGGCCTAGACACGCCTTCTCATGCAATGTAACACTAACATATGGGCTGTCCGTGAGGTTGGTGTAATCCAGTGGTCTCATCTCCGCCCATTTTGTACAAATTTTGCAAACCCAACTTTCAGAGCGACCCCGAGTCTTATCGCATCGGTAGCGAAATGGCTGCTTTGAATCTCTCATCAATTCTTCTCATTTGCTCAGAGAAGTTGACTGCATGAAAATTCTTATTTATTCACATCACAATTTAACTTTTGCTCGTCGCCTCGAGTTGCTCGGCTGAACAAGTAATTAGAAACCCGAAGCAGAACCAGTCCCTTTTGCCCATCACGTCCCCTCCCCTAAGCATTCAACGCTGTCGCCTTGGGGCCACCGAACTACCCTTGATTGGCTGCTGCTTGAGCTGGCAAGGAGAAAACCACCGGATCATCAAGTTTTCAAAGTGGTATCCTTTTTGCATACTTCAACATCTTGAATTCCGAAGTCCCCTCACCTCCACCCCCCCAAGTCTAACTGGGGAGCTTTTGACAGTGGTACACGATTTTTAAGCAGCAAAGTTAGAGACTTGAAAATACGCTCCAGTTACGCTCCACCATACACAGTATTGCTAGGCCAATCGCGCAATTGCCACCAATATCCTTGGCCGCACCAACCTTTTTCGACACTTTTACCTGAATCAAGGGGATTGCTCAGTTTTCTTGTCGCGAATTCGAACTTCATCCATAGACGGCTCATTCAATATTTGGTCACTTTTTGTTTGTACTCGGCGGCAGTCTTGGGCTGTAGTGATTTTTTCGAGAGGGACTCTAAGAGTCGTGAGTACACAAACAGACTTCAGCTGCACGCTTTCTACGTTTTTTTAGGCTAGCTAACTTCTAAACACTTGTGTGGTTCGGCTAGTTGAAGTCTGTTGAAGTATAGTGGAATCCCATAATCCCTCCAAGTTGCTTTCCGACTATCTAACGCTTTTGCGTTCTTGATGATATCATTGCCATTTATTGAACGTACCTATTCACCTAATGTTCCGCTAAGAGCCTTTGCGCCCAGAACATCTCCGGTACATCCGCCTTCCCTTGGCCCCTCACGCTCTCTGCCACTGGTCGAACCTCCGTCGAGCCTCTTCGCCCTTTAGTAATTTCCAGGCTTTGAACTCGGCTTCAATTACTCCCACTAGTTGTCCTCATCATCTCCATCAATCACGCGCCTCCGGCTGGCCGACAATTCACGCCAGCTTGATACGAACCTGTTTTGTTACACTCTTTAGGCCCGGTAAGTGAGGTATAATTCAAAATATAAAAACTAAATCCTTGAGCTATTGCTGCAGCCGTGGCGGTATAGCTTTCCACTCCATCTCCATCTCTGCCATGCTACCTTGAATCCCTAATGCTTCTTTACCTTGAGACAGGGTATCATCATTTAATGAATTTCTGACTAACATTTCCTTCGTCCTTCCTTTGACAGCCGTGATTTTAGATCTTGTCAGGGCTTACTTGTCTCTTTAATATCAAGAGTTCAACAAGCTAGTTTCTGGAAATTTCTCGACGCGCAAAGGATCAGGCGCACTGATGGATCCACTCACCCATGACTCGCTTCCACCATTTTCACATTCAGTCGCTCATTCCTCTGTTGCGTATCCAAACAGTATTGACTGTACCTCTGACTACCCTGAAGAGTACCGGAAGTCTTCAGGAGTAGCTAATCCGAAGATTGACATGGGTGAATACTACTTGCCAATGAATGGCGTCAATACCCCTTATCACCGTGCCCAACTCCAATTCCCAGTTGCGCCAGCATCCTACAGACCCACCCACCCATTCTTAGGAGATAAAACCGGGAAGCATCAAAATCCACGTCCCAAGTCTTCCTCCTCGTTGGAATCAGACCTCAAGAGTCAGGATGAGCGTGAGCTTATGAATGCACCGCCGAGCGCCTACCCCTTCGAGTATGGCTACCCAAATGTAGCTCACTTCCGTCCTTATGCTTCCACGACATCGTCGGAGAATGAAGTACAACCATACCAGGAAGCACCAGAAAGAAGACCTTCCACGATAGAAAATAGATCCGGCTCTAGCGGCGTCCAGGAACTGGCATTACCCCCGATCAGCAATCAATTGTCGCCCGATAGCCGTTACTCAGCAGACGAACCGCCTCTCCGACAAGAGGAGTATGCCGAAAATCTCGTCAAGGCAGGTGTCGAAAAAACGGAATTATCTGAGTCCGAGCACTCCCCGAAACCTAAATCAAAGACTGGCAAGAAGCCTTCTAGCCTTAAAGTATCAGAGGTCAGCTTGTTCCCACCTCTTTTGAGTTAATGCTTCATCTTGGAACTATAGCCTTTGTGTAACGATCATGGCACTAACTATCTTTTTCTAACCATTTAGAAACGCCGACAGCAAAACAGGGCGGCACAACGGGCTATGCGGGAGCGTCGCAAAGTAAGTGTTCTAAATACAACTTGGCGCGGTTCTCACTATCTACCCCTGCTGATAACAACAACAACAGAGAGCTGCGCAGCATCAAGAGATCCACATGACTGCCATTGTGGCAGAGAATGCAATGTTGCGCGAAAGAGTGAACTAGTTGAGTGAAGCCTCAAGTTTTCTTTTTTCAATTCGTATAAGCACTGATTTTATAGCCTGCTGGTCTCAGTTTGTCCAACTTGCTTATCAGCCACGCCATCAACCCAGGAGCCTACCCATCGTGGAGTCCGGTGCCAGCGCAAGAGAATTCGCCGCCAATGCTACCAATGGTGAATACCGGAAATTTCCCTGCTCGTTCCGCTCATGTTGCCGATCACAACTCGGCATCCTCGAATGCGGTCGTCCCGAGTCACTCGGTGTTCCCGCCCGCTGGCCCGGCCTGCTCGTCCGACTTCCCTTCGGCACCTGGGTCTGTGCTTAACTATTACCCCTGTTTTCAAGAATAATTCATCGGCATATAACAATCTGCTCGCGTTACCTAAGGCGGGCATTGAGTTACTGAGAATCTCTCATTAGTTGGCTTAGTTTGGTTTGGCTATCTTGATTATTTTGCTGCTTTCTTCCATTTCACGCATTTTCATCTTCACCGGCACACCTATAGGCTGTAGCGCCGCAGTTGTGGCTTTTGAAACCTGATTGATTTAATATCCAAAAGTTGTGTTCTCCGTCACGTGTCGTTCTCCATTTCTATTATTCAGTCAATTGTTTCTTACCCAACTCGTTGTTCATCGCTATGCTTCTTCAACTCTGGCCATCAGGTTGTTTTTGTTTAGATTGTTTTAACTTCTCGTTTCATCATAGCCTTGTGATCGTTGTTAGGTCATGTTAATTGTCTTGCGAAACTACTTATAGCGGGGTTCACAAATAAAATTTTCAGTTTATGCCCGCTCGAAAACCAGTGATTGCTGATCAGCAAAAAAAAACCTAGCTTGATGCCTCAGACATGATTCTAATTGATACATGCAGGAAAAAGCCAGCTTATAAAACTAGGAATAAGGAGTGGAGTTTTTTCCTGAAAGAAAAATAGAAACATCATTTTTGCAATGCTAGTCCCCTCAAAAGGAAAGATTCTCATTCCATTTTGGTTATTAGACAAACCAATCACTCATAAACAGTTGATAGAACTTGACTCAAATCACTATGTACTACCTATAAAATGGCTTAACCCCCGTGGCATTTTGGAGAACTGCAGCAAAGGACCTTCATGAAATTGTAAACTTAGAGTGGCCTAAATCTAGTTTGATGGTGGTTGTCATATAAAGCAGTCCATGCAATACTGATCTCACAATCAGCAACCAAATTCAAACTTTATGAGATTCAACCTCTGCTGATTTCTGATGAAAGTCTGAAAACATGCATGGCAGTTCCCTTTAGCATGCCTGATCTTAATTACAGTCGACTCCCTCTTAAACCATGAACTATTAACCCATAACCCTTCTTAAGCCATATATTTTTCTAGGAAATTTGTCCACCAAAATGGGAAAAATGCCTAAAAACTTGACTTATTAACCCATACTCTCCCTTAACCCATAGCAAAACATGTCCACCAAGGGGTATGGCTCAATAGGGAGTCGACTGTATACCTAACCAAAAATGCTGCATATGCAACAAGCCTTGCTTAAAACAATGAATTGCTTGGTTGCAACATTACATAACTCCTTTGACTTTCATTTCCATTTCCAATTTTTCTTCCAATTTCTCATTTTTCCGACTGGTAGTGGGGAATTACTGCTGAAAAAACAATGCACATTAGAACTTTAAATCAAAACATTGGCTGATCAAAAAGAAAAAAAGATCCTTTCTGAAAAGAAAAGATCAAAATGTGGTCAGCAATGATACAATAGACTCAATTTCTCTGGATAGAGACACTCATTAGATTAATAAGGATGATAGAACTGCTTGCAAGGACTCAGGAGTGGAAAATCAACATTAAATGGGGTAGGCCCATATGGCTGTTTACTTGAGCTGAACAAAGGAAAATGACAAGCATAAAGATTCAATGAAATGAGCTCTACTTCATTTCCACTACCTTTTTCAAGATAATAAAAACTGAATTTTTTTGATAATGCATCCTTGAAATTCTCAACGGCACAGAACCAGGATAGCCAATTTTATGTGTAAGTGCCTGTGAGACATTGGCCCTGTGAAACTCTCTTCAGATATCTACAATATACTCCATTACAAAGTATATTGTCCAACAAATAAACTTTCTTGTAAAACTGCTTTATTCAGGAGTAAAAGTGAACTGACAAAACTCAATCTACTGAATAATGAAAATGTAAATGAAAAATGTACAGATGTATCTATCCATTCTGCATCAATAATGTTTTTTGCTGATTCCCTTAAATTACAAGCAACATCATCTTTCGTACTGCTGTAGTCACATGCATTTTATGCAATTTACCTGCAATGAGCTTCCAACATGTTTAATTTGTACTTTAACTTTGCGTGTTGATTGGGAAACATACAAAGAACTTGCTGGAATGACTTTGCCTGGGACCTGGGCAAATTTGTTTTGAGGAAGATGTACTGCACTGATCCCGTTTTGGTAGACCGATGGCTTTTTGAGTGATTTTCCAGACCATTGTAGTGCTGGTAGTATTTCAACTGATGCAAACAAGCAGCATACATTGGACAATTGCAATGAAGCAGAGAAGAGAGGATTACATTAACTTGACCGGAAATGAAAGTCGCTGGCAGTTCAGTGGAACTGTTGTGTTTGATGCCGGAGCGGCTTCTCAGGCGAATAAGAATTGCATGCTATACGTCTTTGTGCTAGAGGGAAATGATAGCTAAGTCAGTAAGGTTGGAAAAAAGAAGACAGAGAGGTGGAGACAGGACAAGTTGACGTACTCTAAATCCCAATGATGCCAAGATTTACCCTCAGAATTATCGATCTCCTGGGATTGAAGTTTGAAGGCAATGGTTTGGTATGGCTCGGCTGCAATCTAAATGAATGCTTGAAATGTTTTAGCTTGAAGATACTAAAGAGTTCGATTTGAATAAGCTGGACGACGAACCAGCAGGTATTGATGAGCTCGATCGGCACTTTCGACGCGTTGCTCAAAACTTGACATAAATCGGTGACGTGGCTTGACCCCCTCGGCTATTTGAGGGTAATGAATCTGAAAGAGTAGGCCGAGTTGACCGGTGAGAGGATCGCGAACTTTGGTGACTTGATAACCTGGGGAGCCAATCTTTATGAACTGCTTCTTGACGATCGATAATCTTGACTGGGCAGCTTGCTGCGCTAGCAGAGACGACTGGTAGAGAGAGGAGTCCTTTGCGTCCTTGGCTGCTCGACGAGCTAGGTTGGTTTGATGCTTTTTACCTTGTGTATGGGCCAAGTATGATCCTTCGTTGGTGTGAAGGGTGAGACAGAGCCGGCACTCGAGTCCACCGAGATGATTTCGGAGAATGTAAGGATCCTGAGGTGAAAATTTTTCAATGATTTAGCATTGTCAAAGCAGCCATATTATCAAGATTCTATGCGATTGCTTACTTTTGCGAGGTCAATCGTCTCAAGCGCGAGTTTTCGAAGCCTTTCACGCCGATCTACATTTGCCTCACTTGCACCTGCCAGGCCTCCCCCACCAAATTTCGATCCGACTCGATTCTGTTTAAATGAATGCAAGCAGGAGTTTAAGCAGTAAGCCAAAGAACCGATTGTGGAGATCCGCACTCGGTCGTCTCGGCAAGATAGCTGACCTGAAAATCTGGGTGGGGTTTGAGAGGATGTCAGTTTTCTTCATCCAAGGTATCAGATGCACGAAACCTGAAAGAAACCACCAACCCATTTTTTGAGCTCGATAGGTCAACTCTATGTATGCTGTTGGTGTGTTTGTCAGGATGGGCTCCAGCCTGTGAGTGTGGAGTGGAGACTCGCGTGGGCCTGTCACAGGGCGTTCACCAATCCCCGAGCCGCTCCCCGACCGGCTCCAGCTCCCCCGCATACATTGGAGCCCCGATGAGGATGACCGACAACTTCAAGATTTCAGATGAGCAGCGGAGTATGTGCAACACTTCCGAGCACCCCACCAATCCAGCCAGGCCTGCTTGCTGTGTGATCTCAGCCAGATTGCTGTCTTGACCATATCTCATCCCAAGTCGGAGTACACGGTTTACCAATCATCGGCTCACGAATTTGTAGCATGTCAGATATCGACCCTACCGCAAACGGGTTCGTCAGGTCTCATTCGCACAATGCTCGCAAGACGAACTCGAGGGAAATACCTAACTGCGCTGAACTACCATCGAACTCATTGACGCTCACTCAAACCACCCAACTTGATGGACTCATGACTATCCTGCGTGATAAAATGGTGAGCGTATAAATTCGATCAACTATCTGGATCCTCTGAATGTTTGAATCGTTGATCCCCAATACGCTTACCGTCCGCAGACCCCTCGATCGGAGTTCATTTTTACTGCCGATCGCATCATCCGATTACTCGTAGAGGAAGGTCTGTCAAACTGTCCTTTTCCATCAAAAAATAAAGAAGAAGAAAATCAGGTTTACTTACCTCCAGATGTGCCCAATGCATCTTATCATCTTGGTCAGGTTTAAATCATCTGCCTGTAGAGTCTCACAGTGAGTGATTTATATAAATAGATTTTGAAAGGAGATCCCGCCGCTAAAAAAAAAAAAACTATGCACATGCTCGATCTCCAATTTTTACAGGTGTCGAAACGCCCACTGGTGCTGAATACAAGGGCGTGAAGTTCTTGGGCAAAATCTGTGGGGTTTCAATCATGAGAGCCGGTGAAAGTATGGAGGCTGGTTTGAGGGAATGTTGTAGATCAGTCCGGATAGGTAAAATTTTGATTCAAAGGGTACGCCATCCTTTTTGAGAATTCATTTCTCTTTTTGAATGACCTGCCCGATCACATCACCGGGAAAGAAAGCATTGCTGCCAATTGACCACACCCCTTATTTTCTGGTAGGATGAAGAAACAGCGTTGCCAACGCTCTTTTACGAAAAATTACCGGACGATATTCAAGACAGATACGTCTTGCTACTCGATCCCATGCTTGGTAACTTGGATCGCTATCGAAACATTCTGGTTCCATGAAGTTGTCTTGACCATGTGTGCATCAAACAGCTACAGGTGGGTCCGCGATCAAGGCGATTGACGTCTTGATCGAACATGGCGTTCCCGAGGAGCGGATCCTGTTTTTGAACCTGGTTGCTGCCCCAGAAGGATTAGCAAACATCTTCTCAAAGCATCCTTCAGTAAAAGTGGTCAGTGCCTGGGTGGACGAAGGGTTAGATGATAAAAAGTTCAGTCAATCCATGACATTTTTCCAACCTTAGTACATAGCTAAACCTTTCCCTTTTTTTCATCCTGGACCTACTTCAGGTATATCATCCCAGGGCTTGGAGGTAATTTTAGTTTTGTTTCTGGTCTGTCAGCAAAGGAAATTGAACTAACATGGTTTCATGAATTGGATTTGCTAAGATTTTGGAGATAGATATTTTACAAGCTCGTAATCCAAACTGATGTCTTCGACGTCCGAATAGAAGAACCCAGCGACCAAGAGTATGATTTGCTTTTCGATCTTCCAAAATGTTTATGCGACAAACTTGAGATCCTATGACATCTCTTATGGCATCTTATTGATCTCCTGTACAAGATGAGAACTCCGGTACTTGTCAAAACACCTCGTACGGGACCCATCTCATAGCTCTTGCTTTGAACGCCAATGGCCATGTAGCCTGTTTACTTGTAACCTGTAACTCTATGAAAACATCCTGGGTTCCCTTCGTCTTGATAATTTCATATTATAAAGCTCCACTAATATTCCAACTGTAGAATCTCATGTTGATCTCATATCAGGAATTTGACGATCTGGATAAGTATTCTGACAATGCAGAACTAAGCGTATATCACATGCGACCAACCGTTTTGGTGTCACTCGAACGCATTGTAACTCGAAGAAAGAGGCGGGTACGGTATCTAGGAAAAGTCATGTTCAATATCTGCTTGTCATCTGAAAGTCCTACTGGTACATACATACACAATCAGCATGCACTGGTCCACGAGCAAGATTCAAATAATTGTGCATAACAAAAGATTGATTTCAACGTTGTTGATTGCACTCAAGATTCCAAGGACGAGGTTGCAAATAAGTTGATTATATCTAGTGATCATGGAAATCAAGCCATTATATCTAGTAAGCATGGGAATCAAACCACATTTCAAGTGTTTATTCCCTCTCTTTGGAAAACTAATAATTAGTCTCGACCTCCCTCAAACAATCCTTTACATATTTTTCTCTTTCTTTTTATCTACAATTGCACTTTTGACTACATACCATCGACAATGGCCGGTTAATCCACTCACGATGCCTTTTCTGTCCACAACCTGTTGAGTGTTTATCTGGCCCAGTGTGGCCCCCCTTGAAAAAAGAGGAAATTTCACCTGTTGACTATTTAACACCATTCAAAAAAGAAAAAAAAAATGAAATAAATGTTAGGAGTATTAATGATTCAATAATACGTTGACCGTCAGCTCAAATGTACTGGAAAACATGATGTTTACAAGTACAAATTGTACATTACAACTTGATGATGCTTGATTTGAGAAAGTGACAGTTACAAATATTTATCTCAACTGATTTTTGAGAGGTAGCATTAGGATGTGATGATACATTTTTTGTATATACAAATTTTCAGCATTTTCAGCATATAGCTAGTACATCCGAATAAAAATTATCTACTAGACTTAATCATTTGATAAGTTTCTTGATTAATAGCTACTGGGCGAGTGAGATTTGAAAAGTGGGAGAGAGAACGTCTGACTCCGATTAAAAAGATGGGGAAGAGAACAGTTTGGGGTTGCGGTCTGTTGCAGTGAAAAAGAGAGCCGGTTGGCGCTTGCTGTGATGGTAGCTTTTGGTGGCCGACCCGATTGTCTTTAGAGATCAAAGACATCCGATTGCCATCCTGGACGCTCGCCATCGAGTGTGGCCTGTGCGATCCCGTCAGCTATCTCAGTCACCTGACGGTCGATAGCCGCGCCAGCGTCATCAGCGATGGTCGCAAGCCGTTCCTTAAATCTTCCGGGGCCGCCGAGGCCTTTCCCAGGGAGCATCTTCTGGCCGATCCCAATCCGGATAGTATACGAGCCGTCCTCAGCTTCGAGCTCAAAACCGCTCCCATTGATCTTCGACGTACTCTCCGGCTGATCTTCTTCCTCGGCCTCGTTCGAGCTAGAAACCATCACCTGGATCACTTCCCAGAGCTTCTCCCATGTCGTACCTGGACCCGAGTCTGCCACTTCTTCCCATCGGATCCGCATTTTACCCAACAACTTGTTCAGCCTAATCAATTGATCCAGAAAGTATCCTTGTAGGGTTTCTGTGATTTTGGTATGTATGTACGGTTCTAATCCTGGCTTCAAGATCCAATTGAGCACGGGATGACTGGTGTCGTGAGGGAAAACTCCAAAGCCCTGTGGGGAGGTTGACGTGCAAAAGAGGATTCAAAGTGCAGAGGATTTGGCGATGGTTAGAGACAGTGTAAGAATGATGGACAAATATGATCCTTTGAGTGGTACATAATATACATCCATTATTCCATGATTCTCAAGCCTGATTCTCAAGCGCAATCTTTAGAAGCAGCGCAAGGTCTGCATGTATATCGATATAGTAGGAGTGGACAAAGAACAATCAAGATCGCACCTTCAAGTCAACTTTGCAAGACTTGATCAAGAACAAGCCATCCGGCTTCTCGATGCTCGGAGCCTGACGAGCTCGTCTGGAAACTTCGGAGGAGCGATCGAGATGGCGGTGATAATTCCAGTCGAGCTCCAAGTCGAGAGACAAGCCATCCTGGTCGCCCATACCAAGGAAGATATCGAGCTTACCCTCGTCCTCGATGTTCGTAAAGTCGAGCTTTTGGGCGACTAGGCTCTTGTCATGGTCGACTTTCTTGTGGAAGTAAAAACCGACGTTCTTCGACAACACTCTCAATCCGACGATCGAGATCTTTTGGTAGGTGTTCGGCTGGACGGATAACGAATTGGGTCCTTGGATCCTCCCAGGTTCTTGCCTGGAGGCCCGCTGACTGATTTCGAACCGATGGACGGTTGTCGAGATCATAGAACTGGGCAAAAAGCCAGACGTAGAAGTGAAACTGGCCGGCTGGCAATCCCAAAGTAGAAGATATATGTAATTAGCTCGTCAGACTGTCTGCGTACATAGCATTTGTTTTTATTGTGATGTAGACGCAAGCGCTGCATTGATGCTTATTCGAAAGATTGGAAAACTCACATCGAAAACCGCGTCAATCGTCGGGGATACATATTCGATCCTTGGTGAAGGTATTTCCTGTTGATGAATAATCATAAGGTCAGAATCCCCAACACTCTTGTGGATGAGGTTGAAGCAATTGCAGATGGAAAATTCTTGACATATTTACGTTGATTAACAACAGCAAACGGGGCACTAAATACTCGACCAGGGTATCGAATGCCGCCTTGGCCACTGCTCCGGTGACATGCCGAGCAACCTCTTTCGAGTTGGTGAGAGTAAAGCCTAGCAACTCGGCCGAGACTCTCTGGAATGCTTGACAGACTTCTGGCCAGGAGGGGTCCTCGACGAGGATCCGAAAACGGATGCTCTCTAAGGCTTGGAGAATATCTCCCATCGGCCGGCCGATCATCTTGCTCGCTTCCTGGAACTCTTTGACTGCCACACCCAAACTCTCGTACAGCTTGGGTGAATACAGCCGGTCTTCAAAGTTATCGAACAGCTGTACGATCACCACTTGCAACTGAATCATAGAACACTCAGGTAGAGATTAGTAAAAGGCTCTATGAGACTGCTTGATGGAGATAAAAGTTGTCTTTGCGCCGACAGATCCGAGTCTTTTTTACATACCTTCTTCAAAGGGACGAGTAATTGATCCTTGTGCTCGGTGAACAATTCGGCCAGTTGGTTACAAGGAGTGGTAAGTGAATTCCAGTAAGAGGGGGCACGATCATCATCATCATGACGAGTACAGAAACCATCGATGCACTCTCCAACGAGCCCGAGGATCTCGCGGAACTCGTCGTTTGGCTCGAATCCCTGGAGGTCCTCAGCAAGAGTTTTCCGGATGGACTCGATCTCCTCCCTCAAGAGATGGCTCACGTTGGTGCGTAGATGGACGATGAGTTTGATCAGCTTAGAGACGAGTCTGTCGGCTGCTTGCTCCTCCTCCTGGGTTGTCGTTCGCTCTGTTGACTGGAAGAGTTCGGTGAGGAGGTCGATTGCTTGTCGGATGATTTCGTTGACATCCTGTGGTATCTCTGTAGTGATCAGGAGTAACTTTCTGAAGAAAACTGTTGGAGAGGTGGATGGTGGGAGTGCTAGGCTAGGTGGGAGTGAGGGTAGTTTGAGCTGAGGTTGTTGTTTGTTGAGCAGGAGTGCACTGAGCAATCGTTGGAGTTGATTGTCTCTATTCTTGCTGTTGGTCAGGTTTCTAAAGAGCACCAAGAACTCAGCGATCGAGCTGAGCAACTCTGGCTGTTGTTGATCACTGCCACTAGTACCAGTGCTAGAGAAGATGGGTGAGTCTAGGATGGCGGTGATGATCTTGGAGAGTTGAGTCTGGGTAGGAAGCTTGTGGGAGGCCAGTCCAGTGGCAGCCCGGAGGAGGAAGGAGAGTGAGAGCTGCTGCATTGCAAATTCTCAATTAAGTGGTTGTGAAGAGGAAGGAAAGGAGTCAGTAGCAAGATGAGGGAGGAGGACAGCTGATCCATCCTCTGAAGAAAAGAAGGCTTGAAATTTCACAATGAAAAAAAAAAAAAGGAAATCATAGGAAAACCCAATAGTGGTCAACAGACTACATACATTACCAGCAATGTATCCCCTGGGATTACTGAGGGACTTGGTCTTTTTTATTTCTCATCATCGAAACAGTACTTACATTAGCAATCCTGCTAAATGATCTTTAGAGCTCACTGCATCTACCACCAATCGGAGGCCTCAAGAATATTCATTATCATTATCTTTCCTCAACTGGACATTTGTTGGCGACAAAGAAATCCCAGAATTACCCTAAGCTTGGTTTATTTTCCAATAAAAAAAAAAAAAAAAAAAAAAAAAAAAAAACAAGAAACTCGGAGTCATTCCAAACTTTCTTTCCTTACTTGTCTTTCCAAAAAAACTAGACAATGGTAGATCCCAGTTCAAACAAAAAAAAAATGGGAATATGTAGGAAGCAGGGAGGATTCCAAAATTGATCTAGATATTTCAACCAAACATCTTCCCAAATGCTGCTCTCTCCTTCTTCCGTTGGTTATCGATCTGAAGTCGGACTCGCTCGAGTTCCTTCTTGATAGCCTGATCGGCGGGTACCAGTCTATGGGCCTCGGTCAGATCTTTCAAACTGACATCAGTCTCTTCGACAATCACCCCAGCTAATGCCCGTCGATAGAGTGCCTTTGCTCTATTGTGACCAACCATGAGTGAAGAAAAAGAGAGCAAGGGGCGGTTCAGATCGGATCAGGCTGTATCGGGCTGAACAATTCAACTCACCGTTCATCATTAGTTAGCTCCTTGTAACATCCGATCAAGCCCTGCTTAGACTTTTGGAGTGGCTGTTCAGCCGAGTGGTGCATGTCCAAGACCCTGCTACAGTACTTCATCGCAGCTCGGGCGTGCTTCTTGGCCACTGGGGGGGATACCCCGGGTTGGCTGGCAGCTTTGATCGAAGCCAGACCAGCGTTCAAAAGGATAGTAACCCGTAGGGACGTGTAACTCTCGATCTCCTCGTCCTTGCAGCCATCGGGTAAGACCGTATGAGTGTCTAGATAAGCAACAGCCTTAGGAGAGAGCAATGTAGAGAGAGAGAGAGAGACATCAACTCTCCGTTAACCTTCAGGACGGGAGCAGTACAAATAAGATCCCAAGAGCCATCATCAACTTCATCCAACGCACTTTGATATACTTCTTGGCTGCCACCTCGAAGTTACCCTCTTTGAATGCGCTCGTTGCAATCTGTTTCAGTTTGGTGGCTATCTTGAGGCAGGTCTCAATGTATTCGATCTTTTCATCATCCTGTGGAGAAGAATCAAGAGACCGATCAGAAATTTATCTAATGCTAATTGCTGATCTCACAGTTACAAAATTCGAGCCTCCTGTACTCGAGTGGAAAAATCTGTGGGCTTGAAGTATATGAAGAGGGATGCTCACATCACTGGGGTGATCCTCCCACTCGTCGCCCCACTGATCGGCCTGTTTCACGGGCATCTCTTGGCTGGCCATTCCACAGTCCGAGATCATGATCGACTCAGTAGGTTGGTCTGCACCAGGCTTGGTAGGGGTCTGTTCAATAAGCCGCACGACCGAGCGGCCGGCAACGACTCTACCAAAGACGACATGCTTCCCATCCAGATGTGGGGTGTGGACGGTGGTGATAAAGAACTGAGAGCCGTTGGTGTTCGGACCGGCATTGGCCATCGATAGGAGGAACGGCTTGGAATGCTTCAGCTCAAAACTGCAAGAGACATCATCTCCGTCATCAGCAAAAACGCAAGTAGGGAAGAAATTGGCTACATAGTGGGAGGACCGAAAGAGTATCACTCCTCTCACTTTTCATCCTCAAATTTATCCCCATAGATGGATTCGCCACCGGTACCATTACCCGCTGTGAAATCGCCACCCTGAAAGAGTTGAGCACAAGAGTCAGAAATGGGTTGGCCTGGTACCAAAAAAATGAAAAACGAGAATAGATAAAAACTAACCTGGCACATAAAACTTTTGATCACTCGATGGAACGTGCTACCTTTGTAAGATAACGGTTTACCAGACGATTGACTGACTCCCTTTTCACCAGTGCAGAGCGCCCTGAAGTTCTCGGCAGTCCTAGGGACGATGTCATCGAAGAGTTCGAAGACGATCCTGCCCACCGAATTGGAGTCAATGGTGATGTCGAAGAAGACCTTCGGTCGCTGATGGCCGGCTGAGGCAGGTTTGAACAGCAATTCCGATGGCACCGGTAGTTGGGGTGGTGCCTCCTCAGTGGGTGGTACATCTTCCAGTGTGTTTGCGCTGCCCCATGTTGGCTTGTCGTCGGACTCGTGAGCTAGTTGAGAATCGGCCATGCTCCTAGTGGGTTGCAATCTTCCTACCAATTTGTTTCGAGCTTATCGATCGATCTTCGCGATTTCTGGTATATGCTTCCCGTTGTGTGGTCTGGGGGTGTTTTTTTTTACGAAATCTGTTTCCGGATCAAAGGTTCCTTTAGAAGATCCAAATATCTGTGTTTGTACCCGCGGAAGACAAGGATTCTACAGGGGTTGTGTTAGGGCTCTGCTGCTGTATGTAAAGATGTAGTCCTCCTCGCGCTGGACCCCTCCGAGTCTGTTTTATGAGATTCCAAGTTCCAAGTCGATTCTTCCACCTCAGACTTCGGACACTTCCATCAGTTTCCACACAGATAGATTCCAGATGGTTCGGGAATCGAAGAGTGCCCGCTAGAACAGCTACAGCGCCGGTGAACAACTACGTAACCTTGGCGGTCCGAGCTTCACCGGGCGGCCGACGGGCAAGCTGCGTCCGACAGCTATTTTATGTAGTTCCTTTCCAGGCAGTTTCCCGCCGACAGGCTGCGCTTCGTCGCGCCGGGGTCCTGGCCCGCTATCAATGTGATCGGGTTTGCCAGATTAGGGAAAGTCATCGCCTTGGTACGTTTATGTATCTGGCTGGGAGAACTCAGCCCCAACAAATGTTCAGTTAACAAGATCAACATTAAAACATGCATCATTGCTGTCCTTGACGAGCCTTGACGTGTCTGCTTGTCCTTCCTGGGTCAGTTCACCGGAGCCGTTACCCCTGCGCGTGTGGACAACGGTACGGTAGTACACTCCATCTTACCTGGAGGCTCTATCGAATAAAATCCAGAAACTTGGTTCACTATCAAGAGGGAATTGGCTGTTTGTTGTGCTTGGAGTTTGTAACTTGTAAAAAAAACAACTGGAACTGTGATACAGCTGTGTCAGGTATCAGTAGGGTTCCTGAATGAGGCACAACACAAGTCAGACTAGTCGCCATTCCATTGTTGCCATTGGGCTTTGGCTCCGAGGACTGGAAGTTCTCTACGGGTTTGATTCAATCCACTTATAGCCTCACGGCGTGCGTATCACTATCTCCCTTTCTCTCCAGGAACTCGCTACAGAAAAGTCTTCATTACCATCAACTAGATACCTGTTAGCCCGCAAGAAGCAAAGCGTCGGATTCACCATACATTCTATTGGGCATTTGAGGAATGATCCCCTGGCTAATCCTTCTAGTTGAGCGCATATCTTCACCATATTCATGAACCTGACCATCTCCATTAACTCATAAAAGTATTTTTGCCATTCGTAGCTTTTGGGCAATGATTGCTGTTGGGGATCCCTCGGCGAGAGCTCCCACATTGCTTTCTCACACCAAGCTGCCGAGGCCTTTCCCGAAGCAAATCAGCTTCATCTTCCATCCGCTCCGATCGAACGGAATATGCCACTTGCCTTTGATTGTGAAAGCCCGGCCAATCAATTAGGAGCTTTAAGCCCTGACTCGACTCGGGACGTGAGTTGATTCCTCGTGAGACCTGCATCGAGATCAGCGCTTTGAAAACCGAACTTGATACATAAATATTTATTTATTTTGATCTGATCCATAGGAACAGAACCCACAGCTCCTTGGGATCGTGATTGACAAGCAGGAAGGACATTGTGCCATCTGCCTGGAGAATGTCGATCTCGTGGCGGATTCTTCAAAAATACACCATTGTACGATCTGCAAGCAACCTTTTCACCTGTACTGTTCCGGTCCATGGCTCAAGCTACACGGTAGGTGCGCCCACTGCCAGGGCGCAGATGCAAGAGCAAAAGAAGTGGGCTATGTCGAGCCTAGCCCCGAAACAAGTCAACCATCTCTGACTGAACTCCAGCACTCAAGAAGATTATTCAACCAAGGAAGGACAGTTGTAGCCCAAAGTACATCCGGTCCACCTACGCCCTGTGAAGGCATGCTTACTGTCTCGGTTGTCTTCTTGCTTGGGCTCATAATTACTGTACTATATCTGAAAGGACAGTTGCGATGATAATTGACCAACCTTTTCCTCAAGACTTGCACATTCGATATTTTCCTTGTTTCTTGAACTTTATTCTATCTTGATTCCTACCTGTTCAAAAAAACGTCTCTATGATACTATCCGCTTAATACACAAACTCTGTCCCTTTATTTTAGTGTTTCACTTGTATCTGAACTTGAAGGATTGGGGAAGTTGGATACTTGTAAACTTACAAAAAAAAAAGGTTTGGTTTTTGACAAAGGAAGTTCAAGGGCCACTAAATTCTGACAGAAAATTCAAGTCATCTGGCTGGGTAGTCCAAAAGAAGTGGGCACATTGGAGGACTTCCAATGGATCTGGAGCCCCAATTGAGAAGGTCAAACTCTAACTTGCAAATCTGATAGGATTTAGCGTTGGAGGCACTGATATAAGAAATCAGGATCAATGGTGTAGAGTCGTAGACTGTAGGCATCTTGGTCAAAATGACATATACATTTTACACACCACATGGGGGCAGGGCTTTGTAGAAATTTCAAGATTGTTTCAATATACATTCAAAATCTGCACCTGAAGGAGATCATGTTAGCAGCCTAGGTCATGGTGAGTTTCAAAATGGGAATCCAAATTCATTTTGACTCCATTTCAAAATAAGGTTGGAAAAGGAGGACTTTGGAATTATTTGATGGGATTTTAAAGTTCTTTTGAGAGCATTTGGAAATTTGTTTGAAGAAAGGAGGAGTTTGGGCGGGATCCTGAAGGCTTGTTAATTCCATCAGACATCAGATTGCATAGCTTGACTGCATGACTTTGTTCTGATTATATTATCATCATCAAAAACCACATCACCACTCACATCTTGCTCTGTCCCATGCTTTTTCCCTTTTTCCTTAAGTTGCAATATGGAAGGAAGGCACTGCATCTACCTGTGCAACAAGGAGAAATTTGTTTCATAGGTGGTTGGATCATGAGTCCAACTGGCATGGAGGAATACTCATTGCAAACTGGTATAGATTGCACCTACTGGCCAAGGAGTTGGAAGTAAATATACATGCCCCCACCAAACTGATTACCATCAACCAAAAGAGTCTGTATTTCATTTTTGGCTGACCCAATGGGGAGCTATGTTGCAATTCTGATGTTTCTTACTCATCCCAAAATTTGACTGTCTCTTGATTGATACCAATCCCATCACCTGAGGTCCCCAGTCACTATAGCCTGTCTTTAGCCTATGTTCATGCCTGTCCCAGCTTCTTGTAGCCATAGAAACCTGAAGAATAGGGCTTGTCAGCTCTCTAGCTAATGTGCATGCACTCTCTGGCTGGTACATGTCATATTGAATTAATGTTGGGGGTTAGTTAAATGACTCCCAAAAAATGGAGAGCCGACTCCTAAGCCCCATAATCCCCAAATTTTGGGAGTCAAACCCCCCAAACCTTTGACTGGTTTGGGAGTCAACTCCCCCAAAAAAAATATTCAAAAAAAGGAATCCCCTGGTGTGGAAAGTAAGGCGCGCCCTAGGAGATTTCTTGCACGTCTCCGCTCCGCAACGCGTCCTACTCCGGTTTTGTTGTCCGGGGTAACTTGCTTGATGGTCTAATTGGTAGGTAAATATAACTATTCTTTTATTGGATTTTTGTAAGTAATACTCTAACTCTTAATATCTAAAAGATCTTTAGGCTAATACACGATTCACTCCTAAGTCACTCGGTTTTTCTGATATGTTCTGAGTCATAAGTTTTTTCTCCCCCCCCTCTCTTCCGCTCCGAAATCCACTCTACCCAATTATCCCACACTCAAGTTTCCTTCTGCCTCCCACGATGTCCTCCGTTGTCACTCCCTCGGAGTCCGCTTGTCACCTGCCTCCGACGCCTGTCGGTCCAGTCACTCCTCCGGCCGCCCATGGACAGGTCTCCCACCGCCGCTTCCGCCTCTGGCCCGCTCCGAACCCCGCTTCCGCCCCTCGGTGCCCCCTCCCCTTGTAGCCCCTCCGCAGTATACACTGAACCCACATTCCGCAGTCGGCCGTGACTCCGACGTCCGCCAGTGCCCGGACTCCCCGCAGCAAGCTTTTGGGAACCTTGCGCATTCGGCCTGCTTTCCCCCGCTTTCCCGCGCCTCTGAAAGCTAGACTTTCCGCTAATGCACCTCCGCTTTCCTCAGTATGCGTGTGTAGCGTCAGCTCCGCATGCTTTCCGCCTCAGCCGTGCGCATTCCGCCTGCACCCAAACAAACCGGCCAAAGCTTTTGGTCGAGGCGCGCTCTCGCCACCACACCGGTCGGTTGAGGAGTCGATCCTCCAAAACCGACCAGGGTTTGGGGTCTGTTGAACAAAAGACCCCCACGGACGCGGCCGGGAGGATTCCTCCCGGCCACTCAGATTACATCCTTGATGGCCGAGAGCCAAAATCCTCCTCTTGGCCATTGAGAGTGTACACCCTCTACGGCCGAGTGGATTCCGGTACCTCTTGAAGGCCAAGAGAGAGTTACGCTCTTGACCGTCAAGGTGCGCACTCAGCGGCCGAGGTGGTTTCTGTCAGCTGGCAAGCAAAACCCAGTTACCCCTTAAATAGTTGACTTAATGTTTTGCTACACCAACTGCATGTTTCATACATTTCACACTCATTTCACTCATTTTCTCATTCATTTCACTCATTTCATTATTAACATACTCTACATATGCTTGTATCTAGTTGTCCCTGCCAAGCTGGATATATAAAGTTGTACGGACTGAAGTCTATTGTTCCTCAGACTTTCAGAAGAGACAAAAATAATAACCTCATTTTATTTACTCATTCCTCTTGAGCTCAAAGATACATCAACATATCACTACTTTAAGCTTGCTTGACCCTCTCACATCAACACATCACTGTCTGGATCCTCAAGCCTGAACTTCTCAAAACTTATCATCGGCGGCTGGGCGTGAACACCGTGGACCGGATTAGATTTTTCTACGACTTGGAGCCACTGGACAACTCCAGTAAACTTCCATCAAGCGGATCTCATCACCTCGGAGTAACCCACCGCTGACAGTTTCCCTCGGCCGTTGAGAGTGTACACCCTCGACGGCCAAGAGGATTCTGGCTCTCGGCCATAAAAAATGTAATCTGAGCGGCCGGGAGTAATCCTCCTGGCCGCTTCCGTGGGGGTCTTTTGTTCAGCCGACCCCCAAACCCTGTTTGGTTTTGGAGGATTGACTCCTCAGCCGACCGGTGTGGAACTGCTCAGCAAGTGAGTAAAGAGCTTGGAGGGGATAAAATAGCTAATAAGACTATGGAATAGTAGAATTAGTATCTGTGTGTGGGTGAGACTGCCCTCCTGTCAAGCTTGCGGGAAAGTTACACTAAGAAAAATAAGAGTGTGTCTTATTTCTAAATTTATCTTAGTGTTGATACTACTGTTATTGTTGCTTAAGAATACCTGTTGAAGAGGTAAGGAGTTTGTGGGGTTTAAAGAACCTAAGATTTGATTACTGAAAAAGGAAAACCAGAGCTATAACAATTGATATTAGATAATGAAAAGAAGTCACAATCAACTGAAGAAAGAAATACTTCATACCCGGATTATGTTTAATAACAATGACGGACAACTATTAGATGAGTGAAGAGATGGACAAATGTAGGACAGAACTAAGAAACAAAGAAGATTAGTTGATCAAGTAAACAGGATAGGATAACAGAATACATGTTGAAAGTGTTGAAAAGTGCTTCAGCGGCATTTCTCACCAAGTTGGACAGAGGACGAGACGACCAATTTGATTTGAGTTTGATTTGTTGTTGATGAAATTGAAGTTGGGTCGAGACACGTTGAGTGGAAGACTGAGGAAGAAGTCGGAAGGCTGCCAGAGTGTCAAAGCCGGGTTTTTATACACGATGTTGATGATAAGATTAGGTTTGACAGAATGTGGTTTAGGTTTGTATTGATGATGATTAGATTTCGTTTGTCAGACAGAGTTTGCGATGCGGAAGTGGTTTGCACAGTAGTCGGATGTCACAGACTTTGCCGGTTGTTACGTCGAGTTTCAACACCCCTCACAACTTGATGAGTAATGAATCAAGAAGCACTTTTCTTTAAGTCTGTTGAGGGATTCCGCGTTGCTTGCTTTTGTGAGTGAGTCGGCTATCATGTCTTCAGACGGAATTAGGGTAACCACGATTTCATTTTTTGCTTTCAAGTCTCGTAACCATTTCATCTTAATGTCCAGATGCTTTGTCTTGGAATTAGAGCCAAAGTGTTCAATTTTTTCTACTAGTCCTTGGTTATCAACATGGAAAGTCGATGGATTGAGCTGTTCATTCCATAGTTCTTTGGCTAGAAATTTGATCCATTGGTTTTCTTGTACGCCATCTGAGAGTGCATTTAGTTCGGCTTCCGTGGATGAGAGTGTGAGATTTTTTTGTTTCTTACTGTTCCACGCCACAGGACATTCTTTCCAAAAACATATTGAGCCACTTCTCGACAACCTGGTTTCTAAATCGTCCGCCCATGTGGCGTCGGTATAGTGCTGTACTGATTTTGAGTTGTCGATAGGATTTGGTCTGAGTGTCAGTCGTAGATGTCTTGTTCCGCTTATATATCTCCATACGTGTAGTACTTCTTTCCAATGCTTTATTCCCGGTTCATTATTGAAGCTGGACAAGATTGAGACTGCTGGTGATAAGTCGGGTCTAGTTCGGCACGATAAGTAATTAAGAATCCCCGTGTATGTTCTGTAATTGATTTTTAGCTTAGAAAATTCCTTTTTTTCTTCTTCGGTTGCCGGTTTAAGTTGTACTGCTACTGATAGAGGTGTCGAAGCCACTTTACAATCATTCATTCCCAGCATTGTCAGTCCTTTCTCAATCAATTTTTCTTGAGAAAGTGAAATGTGATCCTCGGATATTTCTACGTCCATTCCCAGTAAAGTATCCGGATCATGTGCTGTCGAGTTCGGAAATCTGTTCAGAAAGAGTGTCTCAAAGACTTCCACGTTCCCAATGACCACTAGATCGTCAACGTGAAAGAAGATGTACGTATGCTTATCATTGTGTATG